TGGTTTGGGGGTTGGATGGAGGGGGAGAGTGAAAAAAAGAGGTGTAATGATTGGCATGCGGGGGGTGGGGGTGGGGTGGGGGGGTGCATTTCAGGGATAGGGAGAAACCAGATTCCTAGGGAAACTCCCAGGAATCCACAAGGATGACCCCAGCTAAGACTCCTAGTAGATGCCTGCACTGGCCATCTACTGTAATTGGATTGATGACTACCTTAACTGTCAGCAAAGAGCCTTTACTCAGTAACTGATGGAAGCAGATGCAGAGATCCACAGACAAGCACTGGGCTAAGCTCTGGAAGTCCGCCTGAAGAAAGAGAGGAGGGATTGTACAAGCAAGGAAGGTCAAGGTCATGATGGAGAAACCCACACAGACAGCTGGCCTGAGCTCTGAGAGAGCACATGGACTCTGGACCAACAGTTAAGGAGCCTGCCTGGGACCGACTTTGGCTCTCTGGATGTGGGTGACAGTTGCGTAGCTTGTTCTGTTCGTAAAGCTCCTTGCAGTGAGATCAAGACATGTCGCTGGGGCTTAGCTGGCTTTTGGGACATCTTCCCCACGCTGGATTACCTAGCCCAATCTTGATGCAGGGGATGAGCTCTGTCCTACCTCAGCTTGATGTGCTATGCTTTGTTCAAGCCCATGGGAGGCCTGCTTCTTTCTGAATGGAGACTGGGGAGGGGGAGTGGATAGGAAGAGAGGTAGATGGGAGTATGGGTTGGGATGATGGAACAGGAGGAGAAGGAGGGTTAACTGTGGTCAGTATGTAAAATAAATGAAAAAATGTTAATTAAGTAAAATAAGATAAAGAAATATTAAAATGAAAGAGAAAAAAACAAAACAAACAAACAAACAAATATAACATATGCATTTTTCAGAAAAGATACTGCAACGCAAACAAGCTAATAACTCACCCCCAGACAGACACATCAAATCAAGGGTAGAGATGATGAGCAAACTCGGGTAGAGGAACTCCATAACCTGTGTTCTAAACATTGGGCCACACCACCTCTATATGATTAAAACAGATGCACCCAGTTACTGCTGTATATCCAATGCTTTAACACTATCTTTCCAAGAAGCCATGTTCAATGAGATGCTGAAATTCAATGTGTGCCTCTTACAAATACTGACTCTATAGCATCAAGTGTGGAATACAAATAAATTATCAAACATCCCTAAAAAAAAAAAAAAAAAAAGAAAAAGAAAAAAAAACCTCTTTAACAATATTTTTGTTGAAACCTAATTTTTATTAAAAAAATATAGCTATAACTGGCACACCTAAGACATATTAGCATTTACCATCCCTATGTTAAGAAAAGTGTCTTCAAAACTAATGAAAACCCTTGGCAATTTGAATATTAGATGATACTAAATTACACTATAATTATTTCAAAGGTCAAGAATCTTACACATTTAGTCTTAAAACTCTCCACCTGGGTGATGCAATCAGAAAATTTAAGTATGTATGAAAATATTTAATTATACAAAACAGGAAGAAATCTACTAATTTAATAACCTTTAAGTAAAATGTGCTATCTTTCCACATAAGTATTTTTCCCTGTGCTGCAAAAAATGAACATTTTAGAAGAATATATGAGCTGTGTTAGTCTCAAGGAAGAGTGGGACATCATGGTATGAAATAAATCAACACATCATGTTTGCAGGTAAGGCTACAGGGCACTGTTGAAAACACCCAATGCTCTTAACTATTGAACCACCTCTCCTGCCCCTTGATTAGATCATTTTAAAAGAAGATTTGCCTTTAAGATTTGGATTCCTTTTTTATAGCTAAGCTACCTCACACTCAGGACAGTCCTCTCTTCATGAAATGTGGAGAAAACTAAGGCATTCCCAGAGGATAGGACCACAGCGGAAATGGTTTTGCTCTGCTAGAATTGCCCCTGGCTGCAGAAGGCCTATATTACATGCTGGATGAGTGGGTCTTGAATTGATTTGGTGTGTTGTGTGAATAAACATGGATGTAATTTGTTTTTTTAAGCAATTGCAATGGAATGTTTTAATGGATAGTCTTTAAAAACACTGCTTCTGTTTCTTTGTTTGGGGATCTTTGTTTTTTTGATTTTGGCAGACAGGGCCTTATTATCATATAGCCCTGGCTTGTCCAAAATTGGCTTTGTGGATCCAGTTGACATCAGATTTGTGATGCTTGTGTACATTACAGGTATGCAATCTTTTGTTTCTGTTTCTTATTTTCTTAAGCCTTCATCATGTATGATTACTTTACAAACAGCAAACTCACAACAAAGTACAAGATAATATTATCCGAAGCCTTCAAAAACAGCTATCCATGCCTATGTGCTCTCTTTTTGGGTGTGATTTTTTATATTGAACCTTGAAGATAAATAATATTGACAACTTGAGAGACATCTTTATGGCTCAACTGACAAAACTAATCTTTAGTTAATTCACGGTGACTCATCATGAAGATGAAGGGCCTCCCCTGACCAAATACGGGAAACACTTTCAGAGTTGGGAGGCTTTGTCTGTACTCAGGGGAGGACTGGACTTCAGCAGGGCTGGGTGTGTGGAGTGCTGAGACAGGGCTGACTGCCAATGGAAGCCACTTCATTGGACTCTTTGGACTGTGTTGTCTCATCTAGGTAACGAGTGCCTCCTATGTACCAGAAACTGTCCACATGCTTTGTTCATGGGGGCTCCTATTTTGCCCAGCCACACTACTGTTCTGTGAATGGCATGTAATGATCAAAAATGAGGAAACGGGTACAGAGGGATTCAGAGAAGCCACCACAGTCAACAGGTTCAAGGTAAAACTGAACTTCCAAAACAGATGTCCCGTATCCACAGCTTGACTACTCCATGCAATTTGCCTTTTTAAAGTTCTTGGAGGTCGAGGGAGGAGGTGCATGTCTGTAATCCTGAGGCAATCATTAAAGGAACAACCTTAAACAAGAGTGAACTTCATGGAGATATGTAACTTTGAGAATGTATGAAATAGGACAATGAAATTTTAATCTAGATTCTAAATAAAGATCGTAAAGTATGCAACTGCCTTAATTCTAGAAGCTAAAAGTGAAGATATGCACAGGACTCTGCAAAGTGTTTTGATAATTTTCTTTGTGTTTCATACTCTTCATGCACCCAAGTTGATCTTAAATGCTTTTTTGTGACAATTGCAGCCTACAGGGGACTCCCTGTATCCAAATATTTGTGGTCAGTCCTAAGTAGAGATTGGGAGGCAGAGAAGAAGATGAAGACAAAACAAAGAAATGGAGGGGAAAGAGACAGGAGAAAGGAAATATGTTTAATTTATACACTGCTTCCTTTTCTCCTCCATGTTATTTCTTCCAAAGCTGCATTCTTGCATTGCAAATACATTCAAACACAATTAAAAGCAAGAACTACTGAAAAACTCCATAAGCTATTTCAAGTTAGGCTGATATGCCAGTGTTACTACTTTTTAATATTAAAATAAGTAAATATCAAATGGAAAACAAGAGCTGAAGAACATAATAAGTAAATTCATATGTATAAAACAAGTAGATTTCAATTGCATTCAATTATTTCAGCCAATCACCTCGAACAGAAGATCCTCTAAAGAAAATTGCATTGCCTTCCCAACTCCTTGGAGAGCCAGTTTAGTTAACAGCCTACCTACACTTCAGAGATGACCATGCAGCTTACATGTCAAACTCATTTTCAAATGTCAATCATGTCCTTTTCAATCTAATTAGTTTGGAAAGTAGTGTCACTGACCTGGAACTATGCAGACCATTTATTATCATATCATTTGATCAACCTAACACTTTGCCTCAGTTGAGTTTAAGACACCTGTAGCCAAAATGTAATATCCTTTCTCCTACTCATTACTGGTAACTCTCAATATAATTCCCTATTTACAGCTCAATTTATCACTGTGAGTATGCATGACCAACTTTACAGAGACATTCCACAGAATCTTCCTGAAGATTTCAGGGCAGTTAAAGCAAAAAGGTAAAAGAATATATACAGATGGTAACTATATACATATATATACATACAAAGATAGTGACTATATATGTATATACATATATATATACATATATATATATGCATACAAACATAATTTTATTAGTACCAAATACATACAGCAGGCTCAGGATTTGAGATAAAGAATTGCAGATGGAAAAAGGAGGAAGAATGAAGACTATGCACAGGCTGGGAAGAATTTACAACATGAACTATACAGATTAGATTTTTGTTTCCTTTAATATGGCACAACGAACCTTATATGGTTCTCCTTATACGGAGACTCTGCAGGTTGTCATCACATTGGGTTTATTTTGTAATAAGGAAAAACTGCCCTGGACTCATAGTATCTAATCCGACTTTAACTCGGCAAGGTGTAGATGAGGTAGCACTGAAAAAGAAATAATAACTAGCTGCCCAGAGGTCAGAGAGCCTTGGCAAGTGTATCAGAGAGGAGCAAAAGGGCTGGGCGGGGCTCGAGTGGATCTGCGCTACGTGCTGGCAGCAAGGGAGCTCGAAAGATGGCTCACAGAGGAGACACCCCTCGCCTGGTCCATTCTCCAGCAAGACCGGGGAAATTACATGATCTTTTTCCTATTTCAGCTTTGCATATTAAGAATGAATTTGCAAGACAAAAATGCAAGCAGGTAATCTTATCTCGACTGCACAGCATAACACATTGCACCAAGGAGGGAAAGAATACAGACACTCTGATATGCCCCAAAATGGTATATTCATATTTTTAACTGTGGCATTTTAAAAAAAAGCGCACCTGTTATATTTAAAGTAATGACTAGTCACTCTAGGATGGTAATCTAAAAGCAGAATGCTGGCTGCCAGATCTTCCTTTTTTATCTTGAACTTTTATTGGAGGAAGTTAAGTGGATTTTACCAAAATTTATGATTGTCTGATGGAAAGGCGAGAATGTTACTCATGTTTTCTGGATCAATTTACTACTACTGAATAATTTTACATGAGGTTAAAAAAAATGCACATCTATCTCACACTTACCTTCTGGTGAGGAAGCAGTCTTTTGGGAAAAGACAGCGTGTACTTTACTCTTCTTATGGATATCATTGTTTACAGACAAGCTGGACTGAAGTTTTCTATGCATTTTCTGAGAAACAGGAGCTGAAATTTTGTGGTTATCTGTAGGTGCTTGTTTAGCTCCATGAGGAATTCCATTCCCATTGCTCAGACTCTTATGGCCGCCATTCTTTATCTTGCCTGTTTCCTCCTTGCTGGGCTCCTGTGTTGATGTCTGCAGCCGAGGCAAGCGCTGAGGTTGGGCTGAGTTAAAAAAACAAAACAAAAAACAGTTCATCTAGTTAAGCAAGAGAAGCTATTATTTTATAATAACAAAAAGATATATTCCAAAATACAAATTCAAAAATAGAGACTGGAGGTCTAATCCATGATAATAAACCTGAAGATACAGGGAGTTATAGAAGAAAGGAAGAAGGAAAAGGTGAAAAGGGAAGAAGAGGAATGTTCTAGAAGGAAGGGAGGGAGGAAGGGAGGGAGAAATGGAGGGAGGGAGGGTCTAGAAGTAAAATAAAAGTAGGTTCAAAACATCACTATACAAAGACAAAAAATTAGGATTTTTTTTTTGTTAATTTAAAATAATACTTAAATTAAAAGGTCTGTTTCAAGACTGGTTCAGTGAAGGCTGCTCTTGTTGGTTGGTCTCCTGAGCAATATACACACAATACCATGATCTCAATACTAAACTCACCAATTACATTTTGGAGTGAAAGGAACAATGAATTCAGACATTCAAAGCTGGAAAATAACCAAACATAGTTTTCTTCCAATCAATTCTAAATCTGGATGGAAGTCTCTTCTGTGCTTATTCCTTTAACTCATTTTAAAGAAAAAAAAAAAAAGGTTCCGTCTGGTACAGTACAGCTGCTGAAAGCAAATCTAAGCACTTCAGGAGAACTAACATCTGAGTCTGGACCTAGCAAAGGCGCCACCTTCATTCCTCCTAGTCAATGCTATACCAGAAGTCCTGACAAAAGATGTGAGTGGGGAAAAGACGTCAGAGTCTTAGGAAGGAGAACACAAACTTGTGGAGTGCCGCACACTTATGAATGAATGAATAATCTAAGTTCTGAAAGGTTAAGAATTAAGAAAAATGTATTTAGAATAAACTGTACAAAATAAAGTATTCCAACATGCAATGCCAGTGGTAACCAATTCACAAATGGACAAGAGAAGAATTAGCTTTTCAGCATAGGGAGAAAAACAAAATCCCAAACCCACCCCTTGAAAACACTAATAAAGATCCAGAGCTAAAGCAACAGGAATGGGTAGACACAGTTACAGGGATCAACAAAATGACAAAACATTATTGAAAAGCATGGAGGTGTCCAAATCATGGGCATAAGTATGTTCATTCTATTAGTTTGGTAATTCTTTCATATTTTAGTAAGTGTAGTTCCCACTAACATTTCTTTGGGGCTTTTTTTTTTTTTTTTAAATGATACATAGAAGCTGATCCCAAAATAAGGAAGAGGAACACATACTACCAAAGAAATTTTAGGGAAGAAAATTGAGGGTTGGTAGAACTTTAATTAGATAGGAAATTGCACCACCAAATTCCAATAGCTCTAACACTGTGTCATTTGGCCATACAAAGACAAAAACCAGTGGAACTACTCCCAGGCATGTAGATGCATGCACAGACATACACATGTCTATGACATACAAATAAAACCATCCACATGTCTATGTATGAAGAGAAACTCTTTTTCAGTTTAAAGTAGAAAGAGAGACTATTTTAATGGCATGATACTGAGAAGGCTAATGACTTTAATTCTTTGGGCACTGCATCATTGAACAATTGAGTGAAGCATGACAATTTGTGTTGACCAGCATTACCCAACAGCTCCATGTGACCTCAGGACAAATATCTACAACCCAGTATCTTATGCAGGAGATCGGTTTCTTAGGAACATGCAATCATTTGATTTAGAGACCAACCAGAAGGACATCCTAATGACTGCCATTGAACCCACAGCTAGTTATGCATATGCATTTCAAAAGATGCCGAATTTAGTGTTCTTTACAGAGCACTTTCTAGCAATCTCTCCAAATAAATGGAATGTTTGAGCAACTTCCTCTCTAAAACTAATAATTCAAGCAATCTGAGAGCTTGGTTAAGTTGAAATGTCATTGACCAATGCAGGAAAACTCCTCATCAATCAGTCAAAAATGACTTCTCCTACTCCAGTCCAAGGTAACCCAAGAATTACTATGAAATAGTTCAACAGTCTCATTAAATAAAAAATGCAAGTGGTAAAAGACGAGTGTGTCCTGTCTCCAAATTCTAAACAATGATAGATTTGACCTTTTTTTTTCTTTCTACTAACAGAACTGAATCTACCACTTATGAGTTACAGCTGGAGCTTTAGTTTAATACATCCTTAACGATTTATCTACATTTCAATCTTCAAACCATATCTATTTCTGGGGCAGTTAAATGATAGCAATTTTATATTTTATTTCACTGTCACCTAATTATTCTTCTGAGGTTTTTGAATTACAGTTAAGCAACCAAATATTGCCTCTGCACTTCAGTTTTGTTTAAAACACTAAAACATTTTTTAGTTGAATGATTTTGCCGTGTGTGTGCAGTACATCAAATCAAAACTGGATAAGCTTTATCTTAGCCATCTCAATAGACAGGAAATGTAGCTTCATTGATCATTTCTCAAGGGTATGATTTTAATCTTATGGTCAAGTTGCAATTAAAACTAAACAGGAAACATGATTTTATTTTCAAATGAAGAACGAAACTGCCTGCCTGATTAAACCACAACTATTTGGTTTCAAATAGATTTCTTGTTATTGTGTACAAATCACGGATAGATCTAAAAAAGCATGCTAATATGGGGGTGACACAATGCTTCTTAAAACACAGGCAACGCCTGGGGACCCTCACTCCTGCTTTAATGATGCACGGTTCTCATTCAGCTGTCTTTCTTTTTTCCAATCTTTACATATGTGACAGCTCTCAGAAGTAGACCATAGACCATCTGGCATTTTCCGAGGTGGAACTTGTGCAAGTTCAGCTCTATTGGGAGTGCACTGCTATCTTCTGCCTGTGTTATAAAGGGACAATAGAATGTAGAACTTAAGGGTTGTTTTGAATTATTCATTTTTTGCCTGTATATTCAAGAAATTTTTACAAACTCTGCATTTTGTACTACATAATCACATGCGTTAAAGGTACAAAGAAACTTTTTGACACCTCTTTTCTACAGGAGCCTGGCATTTTGTTTGATATGTGAACATTCAGCATCTGCTATATCACTCCAAACAGGACGGGGGCTGCTACAAAAGACCCCATTTTAAATTTACTCTCTATGAGCGAAAAATGTATTCTCGATATTCAAGAATGGATGCAATACTTGTCAAAATTTCAAATACCAGATATTAGGACATTCAGCATCTTCAAACCTGGATAGCATTGGTCACCTGATCAGCATATGTGTAGAGACTTTTTTTTTTAAAACCACAGCTCACACAATGCAGCCTGATTGTAATTTTAATATCCATGATGAATAGTTACAAATGTCTTAAGAAATACTGTTCTTTCTAGGTTCAAATGTTTTCAATCAGGGAGGATTAGGTCTAACAGTTTTCAATGGGAATAATAAACATGGGAACAAATGAGTCAATGGCATAAACTTCTTTTGATAATTAAAAAAAACAGGTGATACTGTAACTAGTAATAAGTACGTGTGAAACTGCCGCCGCTGGCATAGGCACAGAGAGGCACGTTTCACTCCAGCATATAATCTATCAGTGGGAGCAGATCATCTGCATGGCTGGTGTGCACACAAGTCATAGTCAATAAAATTACAATAATTCTCATGCACATAGTTAATTTAAATGGTTGATGTACACATAAAAATCACACTAAATCCTGTTACTTTTCACAGGGATAATTATAAGATTCTTTTTAAAAAAATAATTATAAGAGTCTTCCTGGGTATGCAGTATCACATGGTCACTATAGGACACACACACACACACACACATGGTAATGGTAGAGATGCTATATATGCAATACTGCATATGAATATATGAACAATTTAGCAAATTAAATTAGATACCTGTGATCTTGACACTTTATATACAATAGTGTCCTTAAATGGGAGATGAGATGTTTTTCAATATGACTCATGATAAATGTATACATTTTTATTGGCTGCATAATGTGAATTTAGGTAAAATCACTTAGAATGAAGGTGAAAGTCTTCTCTTTTTTATCATCCAGTGCCAAGACTTTCTCTGTGTGCGAAGTCTGGGTACACATGCCCCTAAATCCTGGGAGACTCCTGGTATACTCTATGCTGTTTTTCATCCTCCACCTCAGAGGCTTTTGGAAATGCCTTATTTACTTCTTGAGTTTCTAGACTCTTTTGGTCACATATCCTATTTTCTATCTTCACTGAATCTAACGTACATATTTAACACATGAAATTGTATACTGAAATCGCTATTTTTATTTTTTTGAACATTCATGAATTTGCAATCCCAGTCAGCCACTGTGGTTCCCCCGATGTGAGTTCACAATATGGAGACCATTCTGGCACACTGTATTTTATTTTAAAAAATTAATTCAATTGTAGTTATTGTGAAATAAATCATTAGATGACAATGGGAAGTACTACTATTCAAATTTTTTTAAAAAAGACAAAATGTTAAAAATTGTTTGGGAAAGCAAATGATCTATTGCTCTTGCATTTCATAAAGAGCATTTAGAATGTAATTCCACATCTTTAACCCCAGAGGAGGAGACCAGGAGCTTCTTGAAAATGCATTTTTGTGTTGTCCAAGGCAGGTATTCACTCCTGTGTTCCAGCCTTCCCTGGCAGGTAGATCCAGCAGTCCCCGGATGGGCTTGTTTCTGCATGCTCCTTCCAGGCCTGGCCCTGAGGGGCTGGTGTGCCTACTCCGTAATGTGGCTGGCACCCACCAAGCTTTGATCACAGCTGAGGAGCACACTTCAGGGATTTTGAAGGAACCAAGCCCTGGGAATCTTCATGGAAGCAGACTGACTTCCCAGTCTCTGCCTGTGTTTGTTCCTTCCCGTTACCTCACCTACACAGTTTCCCCACATTTTAAAACTGTTCTGCTTGCCTTCGTTTTGAAATTCTGTGAAAGTGCTAATAATTATTTCTTTTCCTAACAACCATTGAAAAACCTATATCAAATAACTATGTAAGCATAATCTTGTGTTTTCTAGATAAAAATGCAATAAAATAAATTCAAAATAA